TAAAACACTTCTATCCCGTTTTGATTACCAAAAAAACTTTCAAAATAACTTCTACCCATAATAAAGAAATTTTTTTGTAAATTTTAGGCATTTTAGATGTCGTTAGAAGTGTTTTATGGGATGCGCAAAAAATGAAACAGGAAAGACTTTTTGGGACGGAGGGAGTATTTATTACTCCCAAAGTAGTATTATTATGGTTTTTACTATCCTATATTAAACTTGCTAGCACAAGTTTAATCTTGGACTCCGGAGCAAGTTCGTGTGGATACGTTGGAGGCTTCATACGTTTGGCGCTACGTTCATCTCCTCAAAACCATCCCCGACCGTTCCTCCGTTCTCCGTTTTCACCGTTAAGGTAAATTTCTTACTATAGCTAGTAATTTACGTAAGTTGTTCTTGGGTGGAATCGAGTTTTGGACTATAAATTTTTGTTTTCCGCTGCGTTATCCAAGCCTCGTTTCCCAACAAGATGAACCTCCGAATCGTTCTTAACTATGAGAGGAAACTCTACATCCTCGAAACGGATCCTCCCAAGACCCCTGATGGTAATGCTCGTGCGTCCGAACTCACTTCCTTCAAGAAGTATGAGGACGACGCGCGAGATGTAAAGTGTATCATTATGGCCAGTATGACCGCGGAGCTCCAAAGGCTCCACGCGGACATGGAAGTGCGTCCTATGATACAATGCTTGAGAGACCTTTACCAGGGTCAGCCCGAAAACTCAGGTATTTACGTTATCGAAGTCAATATGTCTGATATCACCTCTTGGGTGATGGATACTGCATGTGGTTCTCACATCAGTACTTCTATGCAAGACTTGCATGAATGTAGACAATTGACGGAGGGAGAGATACAACTAAAAGTCGGCAATGGCGCACTCGTCTATGCATTGGCCGTCAGAATTCAGGAACGAAGTAGAAAAACAATTAGGCAAAAGTATTAAGACCCTCTACTCGGATCGAGGAGGTGAATACCTAAGCCTGGAGTTCGATGACTATCTGGGATCTTATCCCAACTCATTCCTCCAGGGACACCTTAGTTAAATGGAGTGTCTGAGAGGAGAAATCGGATTTTGCTTGACATGGTCCGAAGCATGATTAGTCTGATAACATTGCCAGAATCATTTTGGGGATATGCATTGAAAACAGCAGCACACACACTCAACAGAGTTCCATCTAAAGCTGTCGAGAGCACACCATACGAACTATGGCATGGGAGAAAACCGAGTTTCTCGTACTTTAAGATTTGGGGCTCTGAAGCTTATGTAAAACGTCTCATGACGTCTACTAAGTTGGAGCCTAAATCTGATAAAGTAGTTTTTGTGGGATACCCCAAAGAAAATAGAGGGTATGGGTTCTATCATCCATCCGATAACAAAATCTTCGTTGCTCGGAATGGAACCTTCCTTGAGAAGGAGTGTCTCTCTGCTATCACTAGTGGGAGAAAGGTAGACCTCGAAGAAATTCGAGAACCACAAGAAGAAGTCCCGATAGTGTTGGAACCTGAACAAAGAGATCAAGCAATTGAACTTTAAATTGCTCAAAATATACCACGTAGGTCAGACCAGATACGTAATACTCCAGTCAGATATGGATTTCTCATGTCTGATGAAGGTGACGTCTTGTTGGTAGATCAAGGCGAACCAGAGACCTACCTCGAGGCAATTACATGCCCCGAATCCGATCTATGGCTCGAAGCCATGAAATCTGAAATGGAGTCTATGTACAGAAACCAAGTCTGGACCTTGGTTGATGTGCCGAAAGGGGTAAAACCCATTGGATGCAAGTGGGTCTTCAAAAAGAAGACAGACGTAGACGGGAAGGTTCATACCTTAAAAGCTAGATTGGTAGCAAAAGGTTATAGACAAATCCACGGAATTGACTATGATGAAACCTTTTCTCCAGTTGTTATGCTGAAATCTATTCGGATAATGCTTGCGATTGCAGCTTATTACGATTACGAAATTTGGCAGATGGGCGTCAAGATGGTTTGGCCATGTGAGACGGCGGGATCCTGACGCCCCTGTACGGAGATGCGAGAGGATTACAGTTTTCGGGGGAAGTAGGGGAAGGGGTAGACCTAGAAAGAATTGGAAGGAGGTGATTAGGCAGGATTTAGGACTTCTCAACCTGACTGAGGATATGGCCCTAGATAGGAACCTTTGGAAAACTAGAATTAGAGTAGCTGGATAGGAGCTTGGTGTTGTAGAGGTTGTTTTGTAGTGTGTTGTATTCGTTTGGAATCTTCTGCTATTGCTTGTACTTGTTGCTTGTACTTGGTGCTTTTTTGTGTTATACTGTGTTCCCTTCCATATTTTTGTGCAGGTGGAGCTAGGGGTCTCTTGGAAACAGCCTCCCTACTTCCGAGTAGGGGCAAGGTCTGCGTACACACACCCTCCCCAGACCCTACTGTTGTGGGATTCACCTGGGTTGTTGTTTTTGTTGTTGTTTTTGTTGGGCATCAAGACGGCTTTCCTTAACGGGAACCTCAAAGAGGATGTCTTCATGACTTAGCCTGATGGTTTTCAAATTGCTAGTCAGTCTACCAAAGTTTGTAAAATGCAACGTTCAATCTATGGATTGAAACAAGCATCTCGGAGTTGGTACATACGTTTCGATGAAACCATTTCCAGTTTTGGTTTCGAGAAGAACTCTGACGAATCTTGTGTATACAAGAAGGTCAGTGGGAGTGTAATAGTATTCCTAATCTTATATTTCGATGACATATTGTTAATGGTTAACGATATTCCCGCTCTCACTTCTGTAAAGACGTGGTTGAGCGAGAACTTCTCCATGAAAGACTTAGGGGATGCTAGTTATGTCCTTGGCATAAGAATCTACCGAGATAGATCAAGAAAGTTAATAGGTCTGAATCAAAGTATGTATATAGATAAAATCCTTGATCGATTTAGCATGTCTAACTCAAAGAAAGGATCTTTACCTATGACACCTGGCACGGTTCTTTCCAAGAGCCAGAGTCCTTCTATTCCCGAGCAGAAGGAACTCATGATGAAGGTTCCATACGCTTTTGCAATTGGATCCATCTTGTACGCCATGATATGTACTAGACCTGATGTCAGATTTGCTTTAAGCGTGACCAACAGATACCAGGGAAGTCCAGGGGAAGCACACTGGACAACGGTCAAGAACATCCTCAAGTATCTTCGCAATACTAAGGATGCATTCCTGGTATACGTTGGTGAGAAAGAGCTCAAGGTGGTCGGTTACACTGATGCTAGCTTCCAAACCGACAGAGACGACTGAAAATCACAAGCAGGATATTTTTTTTGCTTGAATGGTGGAGCTTTTAGCGGGAAGAGCTTCAAGGAAGATACAACCGCCGATTCGACTACAGAGGCTAAGTACATAGCTGCCGCCGAGGAAGCTAAAGAAGCTGTTTGGATCAAGAAGTTCATTACTGAACTTGGAGTGGTTCCTAGTATTAATGACCCTATCTCGTTGTTTTGTGACAACACTAGGCCATACAGGCAAAGGAATCGCGATCTCACCAGAAAACTAAACATATTGTACGACGCTATCACATCATACGAGAAACCGTAGACAGAGGAGATGTGATAATTTGCAAAGTAGATACTGACGACACATAGCCGATCCTTTGACCAAGCCTATAGGAAAGCTAAAGCATGAGGGTCACACTAGGTCCATGGTCATTCGACCGATGCCAGATTGGCCATAGTGCAAGTGGGAGATTGTTGGAGTTGTGCCCTGATGGCCAACTGTTTATCGTTATTCTATCATGTATAGGTAGATATAATATGTTTACACATCTCATGCTAATGTAAACAAATATTATATTCCTAGATTTATATTTAAAAGATGTTTATCAGATAGTGTTTTCTGCTGATGAGACTAACATCTTAAAATAAATATTTATCTGAATGTCCATAGTTGAGTATTAATGAGAGTGGGATATTGTTAATGCATGTGAGACTAGTGTGTGTTGGATGTTTGACTTAGTCTTATAGTCAATGATAGTGTGTTCGCATCCGCACATAGGCAGATATTATCTGGAGATAATAGGATGCTGGACTGACCCATCCTAAAGATGTTGCTTGAACGTTTAGTTCATGCTCTAAGCATCTTTATCGCGACCATAAGTGTAACTATCCTTCGACTTGAAGTATTACATTTTCTGCATATGTGAACCTGCATGCTTTGATGCATTGTCTTAAGCCATATGAAATAAGGATGGTATACAGGCTTTGTTTTGGGTATGCCGCAGCGCGTATTCAGAAACATAGATTACGTACATAGGATTTGTCATTACTCTTTTTAAGAGATTAATGTCTTATGGGGCCCACTGATAAGTCATGACTGAGGAAATTGCATGGCCATGCTGAGATGTTTTTATAACGTTTGTTCCTATGAGTCAGACTTGATAAATCTGTGAATGACTTAATGGATACAAGTTGGATTTTATTAATCCCTTGAATTAAGTTTAGACATTGAGACAAAGGGATACAGTTACACGAAGTCTGAGTCGTGGAAAGGTTTTGACGGTGCAAACGTCTTAACTTATAATCTGGGGGCAATAATGTATTGCTAGATACCGCTTATTGCTTATAGTATTGGTGCAGAGCCAATACTGTGGCTAGCTTTATAAGTGCCTATACGGGTCACACACTTTGGACAATTTAAGAAGTAGGATTAAACAATGAAATAATAAGTAATTTGTATATTTGTAAAATAGTAAAATAAAATATTTTGGAATATTATATTATATATATAAATATTCGGTTATATATATATTTTATATATATGTGCCGATTAATATACATACATACATACACACATACACACATACATACATACATACATACATATATACATATACATATATATATATATATATATATATATATTATATTGAATATTTTATTTTGGTTTGTCATTATTAATTATGAAAATAATTATTTTGACATAAACTATTTGAAGTATATTTTATACTTGTTTAAAATGATATTGATATTTTCATTTGATTTAGAATTAATTTTATATTAATTTTTGGTGTCAAATAAAATACACTTTGAACATTTAAGTGGAGAAGAATTTTGAAAATCCTTCTCACAATCACAAATCTTTTGCTCGGCCATATGGGATTGAAGAGGATCATTATTTCCTTTGATTGATTTTTGAGTGGGCTAATTGATTTGTCATTTAGCTAATGACATAATCAATTACTAATCATGTTTTATTTAAACCATGCACACCATTAGCTAAGAAAGGGTATGATTCGGCCATACCATTTTAAGAAAAAAGAAAAATATTAGTTTGGTTCTATTAATATCATTTTGTGTGTAGAAAATATCTATAATATTTTCTAAATATTATTAGAAATATTTTCTATAAAATATACAAGATTATTATTATTATCCCAATTTTAATCTTTATATTTTATACTACTATAATCTTTACTAGCATAAAGATTGTGGTAGACTCAGGCGTTGTTCGTTTGTCAAAGTTGGAGACCGGACGCTTAAACGGTTACGTTTGCACTTTCAACGCTCTTCCTACAACTTCTTTGTTTTTACCGCTTCCGGAGAAAGGTATAAATTTCTTACTACTATATGTTTTAGTACGTGATTCTAGGCAAGATCATCATGTTAGGATGTTAAAATTTTTATATTCCGCTTCCTATCCTTGCATGGTTACCTTTCATATGTATGTATGTGTGTGTGTGTGTGTGTGTGTGTGTGTGTGTGTATTGCAATACCCCGTATCAAGATGGGAATGGAAGGGCTCAAAACGATTGATAGTACTACTCATACCAACAAGGTGCATTTTCTTTTCGGGAGCTCATCACCTAGAAACTCCAAAGTTAAGCGTGCTTGACCTGGAGCAATTTTAGGATGGGTGACCCCCTAGGAAATTTCTTTGGCGCGCACGAGTGAGGACAAAGTGCGCGGGAAAGACTTGTGTTGGTTTGTGAGGCCAGTCTACAATCCTATGAGCGAACACTTACGGCCAGGGTGGGGGCCGGGGTGTTACAAATGGTATCAGAGCAACCCTGCGACCGTGACGGGCCAAAAGAGCTTAGTTCACCTAACGGGGAAGATCTATGGGTTTAAAAAAAATAGGATGCAACGAGGACGTTGCATTCCTAAGTGGGGGTGAATGTAATACCCCGTATCAAGATGGGAATGGAAGGGCTCAAAAGGATTGATAGTACTACTCATTCAATAATCCACCATAACTATCTCGCCCCTTCCGTTTCCAGGAAGGGGCCAATCATTCATTCTGTCTACCTGCGTGTAGCAAATAAAACACACTACACGCTTAGCGATGAAGCTGAGTAAGCATATCTAAAGCATCGAACATCCACATAAATTGAATATCAATTCCTAATCAATCATTTGATATCATGCACACAATATATGACTCAAACATTCATGATATTCTCAATATTATATTCTAAGTCATTTTATATTCAATATCTCAATAATGCTCTTAAATTATTCTTAATCTAAGGCCACATCATTTTATAATCAGCTCTTAGCTATTCTTAGTCTAAGGCAATATTTCTAACCAGACCCTTAAACTATAAATAGTTTAACGCAGAACACAAGAATCGATAATCCACACTATGAGTCATGTGGATTGCGTACCAAACCGAACAGTGAACTGTCGGGTGGGTGATATCCGGTCTGGATCCTTTACGTACGTTTTAACCCCGAAATATGAATTAGTCAAGGAGGTATATCTTAGAGTTTTCTAGATATCCTTAATAATCATGATAAGTCCGTTTCGTACTTATCTTTTTACTCATATTTAATTCGTTCTTGTACTATTTTTGTTATGAAAACAATAAATTATTTATCATTTTTTAATCAAAAATATATGTTTTGACAAATTGATCATAAAAAGAATGTTTTTGAATTAATATGTAAATTTGGGCCAAGAATGGAGTAAAAAGAGTAAATTTTTAATAGAAAAATAATTCTATCTCACAAACGGTGCGGAATTAGAAGTTGGTGTAGAAGGAAAAAGTGTCCAGAACGAAATTTTGAGCAAGGTAGCATCGGCGGATTTTGGCGGCCTGACAGGCGACCTGGCCGGCGATCGCCTGCGTGACCGGCGGCTAGAGGGTGGCGACGGCGAGAAGGAGCTCTGGCAGTGATGGAGAGCGCCGGCGGGCTGGCAGGCTGCAGCCTACCTGCCCGCCTATCGACGACGTCTAGCAGCGAAAGGATTCTCGAAGCTTCGGTAGTGGCGGCGGCGGGCTAGCCGGCGGCCGCCGGTCTGCCCGCCCGGTGGACGGCGGCGAGTATAAAATGGGCAGCGCGTTGCGTTTTGTTACCCCCTTTTTTGGGGGTAAAAATTTCCCTTTTTTATTCTTAAATATTGTATTAAATTTGTGTTGGTTAAATTTCATCATTCCAAGTAAATTCTCGAATCCTTGAAGCATTGTAAGTTTTTCTTTTCTTTGTATTGAAATCTTTATTGAAATTTTTTATCAATAAAATATCATTTTGTTGATGATTGATATGTCTTTGAAAATTTTATATGTTATTATGATGATTATGAATTAGTAAATATATATGGGTTAGGATCTAGAATAAAGATTTAACCAACTTAATTTCATCTATTTATTAGTAATTGTATTAATTGTTAGAAAATGAATTAATCTTTATTAATTAATAAAATTGTTTTTATTATTAATTAATCTTTGAAAATTTATCTTTTATCTTGTCTATGAGGTAATAAGATTAATTAAGTCACACGTTCCGAACACCTAGAAATAGGCAGGGCTAGAAATAACCGTTTAGAATGATTTTAACTAATTAATAATAGAAAACATTTTATTAATTAAGTAATTGGAAAATAGTTCTTGCCTTGTCTATGAGTATTTAGAATTATTTAAGCCGAACATTTTCTAGCAAAGTACTGAGACCTAGAAATAGGAGATGTACTGGAAATATAATAATCTTATAATTAATATTGAGACTTAGTAATAGGAGATGTACTAAATATAAGATTAAAATTTTGTGTTCTATATTGAGACCTAGAAATAGGAGATATATTGGACATAAGTGCTACACGTTTCATTAATCTAATTGCCAATTAAAAGATGGGTTAAATTGTGTTGAGTCTGAGTTCCAATCCTAACTCCTGAAATTGCTTGATTAATTATTTTAACTACTTTAAACTCTTAACTTTTCTTCTCTCTTTTGTTCACTATTAGACTAAAAATTAGCCTGTGATAAATAATAAAACTAAGTATTCCCTTCGTCACTCTTAGAGAGAACGACCCAAGTCTAACTCGGTTATTTGTTGACATACCGCAATACGCTGTTCGTCAAATGACGCCGTTGTCGGGGAGTGGCACAGTTTAGTCAGTTTTCATATTTTCATAGGCAAATTTTTAGTCTACTCCTTTTATTTCTTGTTATTTGTTTTTTCCTTATTTACATTTTTATGAATCGTTTTAATAATTTTTATTTTAATGATTGCCCGCCATACCCATATTGTGAAAATAATTTTTCTAATCATTATAATGAAAATTACCATTATGTTAATAATATTTATGAAATCCACCTATGTTTGAAAATGCATATCAATTTTATGATAATAGGTGGAAATTTAGACCTGGCAAAATTTGACCCAACACGTTACTAATCCGAAACCCGACCCGAAATTAGCGGGTTTTGAACATTGATTTTGCAACCCGAACCCGAAACGACCTGAACCCGAAGACCCTTTAAATTTTTGGGTCAGACCGGGTCGGGTTTGACCCGATGGGTTATGCACTTAATTGTTTATTTTTATTAGTTATTTAGTTTTATATATTCATTTAAAATATGATATACCCATTTGGCTACTCAAAACTCAAAAGGCGTTATATATATATATATATATATATATATATATATATATATATATATATATATATATATATATATATATATATATATATATATATATATATATATATATATATATATATATATATATATATATATATATATATATATTGGAGACATGGTGATATGGTATCCCATCTTATTGATTCTCCTATTTGGAAGAGGATATCCAAAATTGATGAAATAGCTCAAAGACTCTGCTGCCACAATGATGATGGCAGTTTCTCATGGGGGGATGATCCTCAAGGAAGTTTTACTCTCAAATCTGCATATGCTCACTGTAGGGCCGCGGCTAATCCTGCTCTGTCCTTCAAATTGATTTGGGAGTCTCCTCAAAACCCCAAAATTAGCATCTTTCTGTGGAAGTTACTGAATGGTTGTCTTCCTACACCGGATAATCTGCAGAAACTGGGTTTCCAACTGCCTTCTATGTGCCCTTTTTGCAACGCATCTTCTTTTACTATTAAACACACCCTTGTAGACTGTCCTGAGATTGTCATTGTTTGGAGACATTTTTCTATGTGCTTTGGCTTCCCTCATCTCCAATCTTCTTCAGTCAATCAGCACTTCATGAACTGGTGGCTAAGGGGTAACAACACCATCCATGGCTTTCTTAGGAAACACACACCATCCATCATTTGTTGGCATATTTGGAAGCACCTGAATGCTATCATCCATGGTGAAATTTTTAAGCTTAACACTGATGGTTTGATTCATACTTTCTCTCGTTATATCTATCAATGGGTTGCCATCAAAGCTCCCAAGAAGCTTCGGGTTAAGGATGTGTGGCTCACCAATATGCATCTTTTACCTATTTTCAAAACGGAGGCTAAAGTGCGTATTGTTAAATGGCTTGCTCCACCAAGGAGGAGCTGGTATACTACACAATGAAGAGGGTTTGTTTGTCTGTGCAGCTTCATTTCGTCTCTCATGCAACTCTTCCTTCCAAGCTGAGGTTATTGCAGCAATTCAAGCTATTACATGGGCGTTTTCTTTTCAAAAAGAAATCATCTTTGAAACGGATGCTTTGGAGGTGATTCGGAGGATCTCTAAATTTTCTCACCTTGCTGCCTCTCCTTTCCCTATTGACATTCTCTCACGCCTTATCTCTGACAATGGAGTTTGGATTTCACATGTGCTTCGGGAAGGGAATCAGCCGGCTGATCTTTTAGCAAAGGAGGATAGGCACAAGACTGATTCTTTTATTAGCTATCCTTATCTTAGTTCTTGTCCTACTAGAGTTAGAGCTGCACTTGCTCAAGAAATTGTACCTTCGTTTCGTTTTCATTAATAAACTCATTTCTTCTGCTTAAAAAATATATATATATACTCTCTCTAGGAATTCCTCTCTTTTCTTCATGCTCTCTTCTTCCGGTAAGGAGTCCGGCGAGACTCCTCCAGCAGGAACTGGTGCTCCTCCAGCCACTGCCTACCTCCCTCCTCCCAAATCTTTCCTCCACACAGTCACAGGTACCGCAACAACCAAAATTACAGAGAAGCCAATTGAAAAATTCAAAGGGTTGCCTTGCATATCCTTCACCAAAGATGAAGTCCAAGCTCTCTCCCCTAGGTTAAACAAAGCCCTGGTTGACACCTTCTACAGGGGCAGGCCAAGCATCTCCTTTATCAAACAATGTCTGGAACGCATGGGCTTTGTTGGCTTTTCAGTCACTCTCATAGACTCAAGCCACATTCTACTCAACTTCTCCGGAGAGGAAGAGTTCCTCAGGTGCTTCAAATGGAAAGACTGGACACTAGGGAGCTACCAGATGAGGATCTCCAAGTGGACTCCGGATTTTGATCCAAGGTATGAATCCCCAATCTTACCTATTTGGATATCTATCAAAGACCTCCCCATCCACCTGCACTCTAAACAATCCCTACTCCAAATTGGAAACATATTTGGTAAACCCATCAAACTTGATGCCACAACTGAATGCTTTGGCCGCCCCTCTATTGCTAGAATTTGTGTTGAAGTTGACATTTCTAAACAACCCAGCCCCAAATTCTATGTTAAGAATGGAGATACTCCCCTCCTCCTCACTGCCATTTACGAAGGGCTACCAGAATACTGCAATGAGTGCAAGGGAGTTGGGAGACACATTCCAGATTGCAAACATTTTACAGCTCTAGTACCTTCACCGGAAAAACTAGAATCCTATGGTAGCCGGAAACCAGCAGCTGGCATCCATGAATCTGCCCCCAAAAACCAACCACAACCAACCAAAAACCAAACACATCCAGCCAAAACCCAGATACCCCACACCTATAGACCCGAAAATAACCAAGCCAAAACCTCAAACAGCAAACGCCCCACACTTGAAGCCCAACCCAGAAAGCCAACCACCTCCAAACAAACTACCACCCCATTAACCACAAATAACCCATTCACAATCCTACACACAGAAGATTACCAAAAAACACCCCACAACCCTGAAACACTCCACCCTACTACCTCTGCTACCCCCATCACTCGAGATACTGCTCCCACACTTAATCACAACACCACAGCACCAACACAAACTGAGACCCCCCATAACCAAGAGGATTGGGAAACCCTAGTGCATAAAGAAATATTTGACATTTGCCTTCTCTCCTGGACAAAGAACCAATCCAACCTGCTGCCCTCCTCCAGCCTGGTTCAAGAACCTGAGCTTACCTTCTCCAAGGATGACCTGCATTTGGAAACAGAAATTCTCAGCTTAACTCCCATTTATATCTCAGACTCAGAGGTCCAACTCACTCTTAATTCCACTCCCTCAAACTCAGAACCTATCCCCTTACCTTCACCTGGAATAATTAACCCTGAGCCTTCCTTCACACTTCCTGTTTCTACTTCCACTCCAAAAAAGCCTCCTTTACAAGAAACACCTGCAAAACAAATTCAATACAATGATAAGGACCTCACACAGACAGTCAGGAAATCAAAGAGAATACAAGAAAAGACACAAACATTCAGTTCCTCATCCACTGTTTCTCAATGAACCTACTTTTTTGGAACATCTGTGGCCTAAGCTCTAAAGCTCAAAGACTGGCCAACCTTATCCACACTCATAAAATTACCTTTTGTGCCATCATTGAACCAAAACTGAATTCCTGTAAAATCAACCAGTATCAATTCATGTTTGGTTTTACCCACTCATTCCACTCAAAAGATAACAGAATATGGATTATGTGGCAAGACTCTCAACTTACCTACATTACCCACTCTGACCAAACCCAAACAATCCACACCAATTTCACCCTCAACAATAACCCTATCCTCATTACTACAGTTTATGGCAAATTCCCCACTTCTGACAGAAAACCTTTGTGGGATGATCTGCATACAACTAGCCAATCCACTAATTCCCCCTGGATTATTGGTGGTGACTTCAACAGCATCTCTTCCCTTGATCATCACAAAGGCAATAGCAGGCCTTGCCTTAATAGTATTCAGGACTTTGATCACTGCATTATCAACAGCTGCCTCATCTCCCCTCCCTTCTCTAGAAGCCCCTTCACCTGGTCTGGTGTTAGATCCCTAGGCAGGTTGTGGAGAAGACTTGACAGAATTTTCATAAACACCACTTACTCCAACCTTTTTCCAGACACTTCAACTGAACACCTACCCAAAGCCAGTTCATACCACAATCCAATTCTGGTAAAATCCTCCAACTCAACTTACCAGGGGCCGAGACCATTCAGATACATCAATTGTTGGAGCTCCCATCCCTCACACAAAGAGATAATAAGGTCTGCCTGGGGTAGATACACTGGAGGTGGCATGCAAGGTCTAAGTGATAAGCTTCTCAATCTGGGGAAAGTCCTTCAAGCATGGAACAAATCTACATTTGGAAATATTATTAGCAAAGTCAACCTTTTGGAGGATGAGCTCAAAAAGACTGAAATGGAATATGATGAAAACCCCAACATTGATAACAGAATCCTGATGAACAAAGCCAGAGCAAACCTTATTCAGGCCAANTAGAGCTCCCATCCCTCATACAAAGAGACAATAAGGTCTGCCTGGGGTAGATACACTGGAGGTGGCATGCAAGGTCTAAGTGATAAGCTTCTCAATCTGGGGAAAGTCCTTCAAGCATGGAACAAATCTACATTTGGAAATATTATTAGCAAAGTCAACCTTTTGGAGGATGAGCTCAAAAAGACTGAAATGGAATATGATGAAAACCCCAACATTGATAACAGAATCCTACTGAACAAAGCCAGAGCAAACCTTATTCAAGCCAACTCTCACCATTATGAATACTGGAAGCAAAAAGCAAACATTAAATGGTTGAAAGAGGGGGACAACAATACTGCATTTTTTCATGCCCTAGTCAAACAAAGGAGATCCAGACAACAGATCCAGAGACTAAAAACTAGTGAAGGTAAATGGAAAACTAACCAGGATGAAATCCAGAAAGATATCTTTTCCTATTACCATAACCTCTTCAGGGAGCAGGACACCACTTTGGACTCCCAATTTCTGGATAACATCCCTATCCTTATAACCCATGAAGATAACTCCATTCTTACTGCCCTTCCTAATGTGGATGAAGTCAAAGCTGCAATCTGGTCCATGAATCCTGACAGTGCAGCCGGACCAGATGGTTTTAATGGGAACTTCTATAAAACTAATTGGGACTGCATTAAGGAAGATTGCACCAAGGCTGTCCAAGAGTTCTTCCTTGGAATCCCCATTCCTAAGGATCATGCCAAAACCACTATCATACTCATAGCCAAGAAAGAAAACCCCTCCATCTGTTCCGACTTCAAACCCATCTCTCTAGCTAATTTTTGCTCAAAAATCTCCTCCAAAATTTTAGCCACCAGGCTTGGGAGGATCCTACCCAAACTCATATCCCAAGAACAAGGAGGATTCGTCAAGGGCAGAGTCATCCATGATCAGATTCTCATAGCCCAATAAATGATCCAAGGGCTAGACTACAAGAGACGAGGAGGAAATCTAGCCATTAAACTGGACATGTCTAAGGCATTTGACAAGGTATCATGGGAATATCTAACGGAGGTCCTTAACAAATTTGGTTTTAGCCCCAGATTCAGGCATCTAATCATGAACATGTTCAAATCCACTCACATCTCCATCATGGTCAATGGGATCCCAACCAAGAGCTTCAAACCTAAACGAGGACTAAAACAGGGAGACCCACTCTCACCTCTGCTTTTTATCCTAGCTTCTAAAGGTTTTAGCAGAACCCTCAATAATCAAATTCAAAATGGTCACATTACTCCTTACTCCCTGGGCAGACACTCCTTAACTGTCTCTCACCTTGCATTCGCTGATGATCTGATTCTATTCATTGAAGGCAGCTCCCAAAATCTCCATAAAGTCAAAAATCTACTCAAGGACTATGAACAAACCTCCGGGCAGCAAATAAACCTCTGCAAAGTACCTTCACCCCTCCCAAAAAGGCCAGCACAGCATACATCTCTAGGGCCAGGAAGATTCTTGGAATGAGAAATGGCCACCTGCCCTTCAAATACCTTGGGGTTCAAATTCATAAAGGAATCAACAGGAAGGAATATTGCAGCGACCTAATTACTTACTTTGATAACAGATTCCAAGGCTGGCACAAAAAATTCCTTAGCCAGAGTGGTAGATTGATCCTTATAAAGAACGTCCTTAGTGCCATATCACTCCATATCATGGGTTGCAGCAAAATACCCAAGAGTGTTATTACTCTACTTGAATCCAAAATGAACACCTTCCTTTGGGGTAATAATTCGGAGAAGAATAAATATCATTGGTCTTCATGGAATAAGATCTGCCTTCCAAAAGAGGAAGGAGGACTAGGATGTTATAGCCTTCACACAATTCAGGAAGCATACGGTCTCAAAATGTGGTGGTCCTATCAATGCAATAATTCCTACTGGGCAAAATTCATGCGGAAAAGATACCCAAGAGAGCTTGACACTCCTCTAAAAGCAACTGACTCCCCTATCTGGAAACGCCTAAGTCATAACAATGAGATTGCCAACAACAAAGCCTTTATTGACAACGGAAAACTCATTTGGTTCACTGGAGAGGAGGGGTTTACCATGAAGAAGGCTAAGAATTCCCTGAGAGAGAAACTTCCCCAACATCCATTCATGGCAATGGCAAACATTAAAAACCAATCTCCTAAGATCTCAATGTTTCTATGGAGACTCTGTTTTGGTTATCTCCCTTTCCCCAATAAACTGACAAGGATGGGATTTCATCTCCCCTCAATTTGTTTATTTTGCAGGAACCAAGAGGAAACTGACAATCATGCTCTCCTTCAGTATAGCTACAGCAAACAAATCTGGTACTATTTTGAAGCATACTTCCATACAGGAGGGGCAATCAACCATGGTATCAGAAGCTACCTCATAAACTGGTGGAAAGAAAGACGACTTGGGAAACACGATAGACATCTGTGCAACATCGCTCCTGGCATCATTGCACACGAGCATTGGAAGGAGCGGAATAGACAATTTTTCAAGAATGAAGAGAAAACTGAAACCCAAATGATCTCCCATATCACCAACAAAATGTATGAATGGATTGCAAGCATATCAAAAGGCAAAATTTTTAGATTTGGAATCAAGCTCCCCACAACAACCCCCCCGGCAATTAAGATCTTCAAATGGGAACCGCCGACAAGAGGAATCGTGATTTCCGCTGACGTAGCCATTGGAAGCACAACAGCAACTAGAGCGGCAATCATTAGAACAAGAAAAGGAGAATTCCTAGGGGCCTGGACAACAAGACTGGAGGGCATAAAGACGCCAGGCGATGGAGAACTACAAGCGGCATTATTTGAGCTAAGACGCACAACACACCTCAACACGCCTATTAACTTACGCATTGACTCCAAATACTGCGTACACAAAATTCAAGATCCACACAATGAAAATGCTGATTGCACCACGGTCAGAGCTATTATATCAACATCAGGCGGACAAGTTTGCCACATTTACAGAGAAGAAAACACAGCTGCCCACAACCTAGCCCAACATGCACTTAAGTTTTGCTCATATACTTACTACTCTCATTTCAGTACTTTACCCCGTAATGTTAGGGGCGCAATTTTATGTGATGTAACAACTGCTTTTATCCGAATAAAATAACTATATATATATATATATATATATATATATATATATATATATATATATATATATATATATATATATATATATATATAGTTTGGTTCCGGTGAGAAAGAGATCTTATGAAAGAAATAAGAATGTCTCTCCACCGTTAGACCTGATCACGCATGCATTTACTTGCGCCTAGTCTTCAAGGGCTTTTTGGGGTTTACACGCCTCACACCCATCGATCTCATTCTCTCTCCTATTTTCTCGCTATCTATGGATCTGTCTTGCTCTTTCTCTCTCATTTTAACGCATCAATTTATCTGCTTCCAATCTCAAACCTCCGCCTCTTGTATCATAGCAATCCTCACTTTCACTCTGTCACTTTAAATCTACACATCGAGCCGACGCGCAGACCTAGGGTTCAACCAAGGCATGAATTCTGACAAGGGCGTGCACGGTGGTGATGCCGCACAAGTTTGGTTTCGCGCTCGTCTATCCTAACGAAAAAGAAAATACTACAGGGAGAATTTTTTTTAGCTTTTTAATTCAATTTTTTCAATAAGGATTATAAAAGCAATAATTACTTAGTGATGGTGTAAATTACTTGACCAGTCAAACTATACTAGACCGGGTCTAGAATAGTTCGCTTGATTTGGCAAAGTAGGAAAGGTAAAAACACGCAGATTGACCGGTAGGACTTTAGGTGGAACACCTGTAGCCCAATTTGTATTATAATGGAGAATGCACGGGTGCTTTTACAAGGGAGTTTAGAGAGAATGAATTCGGATCCCTACTTCTAAGAGTTACAGCCGTATTTATACTAGGTTTGGGGGGACAAGCCCACGTGCGCCCACGTGGAGGCACGTGTCTCGGATGTTGAGAGGTGATGGGCCTCGTCTCTTAGCTACCTTGTCGCCTTGTGAGGGGGATTATTCCCTTTGTCAGGTAGTGCCTTGGATGGATTCTTCAGCATCTCCAGTTGTTCTCTACTGACATGGGTCGCTACACGCCAAGCCCTCGTAGATTCTCCTCTGCCGACACTTTCCAACCCTAGAAACTACACCGGGTAATTTCTGAGGGATGAGTTTATCGTACTTAGGGAATGAATGGAGTGATAAGTAGTTTGACCGGTATACTTTTTCCCGAAGTACACCGGTCAAATTCGGACCGATCAAATACCC